AGCCGGCCCAGCCGGCCTCGGGGCAACCCTGCGGGTGCCAGAGGCTTCCCCAAGCGAGGCCGGGTGCCATGGCCGGGCACAAGGAGCGGGGCAGGCAGCGGGATGCCCCAGGGCTGGGCACGGCTTCAGAGCGGTGCAGCCGGGGCTGGAAGCAGGTGGCAGTGACATCCTGCTGCCAACCTGTCAGGCCAGGCTGGGACAGTGAGGGTTGTCACTTGGGGACCAGCCCAGCTCCCCCAGCATGGTGCTGCCCTCCCATCGCAGCACCGCCTTGTCCTGCCCCACACTCCCCCAGGATGGGGTTTGGGGTGTGCACTAGTGGGGGAACAGGATCCAGCCCCACATCCGTGGGGGTGCTGTGCCCATGGGGGCCTCTGGCTCAGCACCCCCCTTCCCTTTCAGAGTGACCATCCCGCTGTACGACGCCGACACAGGGCTGCTGGTGCTGGCAGGGAAGGTGAGGTCCCATGGTTGGGGCATGGAGGGAGGCACTGCGGTGACAGGAGGATGCGGGGGGTATAGTGAGGTGCAGCTTGGTGCATATAGGTGCACCACTCGAATACAGGAGGGTGCATGTGGGTGCAGTGGAATGGTTCCTACAGCCCTGCTCATTCCCTGACCACACCACCTCTCTTCCAGGGAGAAAACCTCCTGTACTGCTTTGAGGTGGCCCCCACGCAGCCAGCACTCACCCAGGGTAAGCAGGTCCCATCCCACCCATATCTTCCCCCAGGGGGCTCACCACTGCCTGGTGGTACCCCACAGCCACCCTGTCTGTCCTGCAGTCACCCAGTGCCGGACAGAGGGCAGCACACGGGGCCTGGCAGCCGTGCCACGCCTGGCCCTGGATGTCATGGCCTGCGAGGTGCTCCGTGTCCTGCAGCTCACTGACACCGCCCTCGTCCCCATCAGCTACCTGGTGCCTCGCAAGGTAAGGGGGCCCTGTGGTCAGCACTGTCTCATAGTGCCTGGTGTCATCTCGTGGGTGACACCTCACCAGCACTGGGTGGCAAAAAGGACCTGGCTGCAGTGAGACCCCAGTCCCCAGCCTGGGAGAGGAACGAAGGTCAGACCTGGATGTTGATGGTGCGTTGCAGACTCTGGGTGCTGGATTTGGGAAGCCAGGCGCTGTGTGCAGGATTGGGGTGCTGGAGAGTGGATGCTGACAGCTGGGTGCCACCTGCTGGGTGCTGTAGTGCAATGGGTGCTGAGCACTTCAAGCAGCTGAAATGGTGCTGTGTAGTGGGGTCAGGGTGCTGGAAGTATCTGGGGGTGTCCAGGGGTGACCCAGCTGCTGTAGGACAGAGGCTGTGGGATTTGGGAATACCCATCTCGCCCCATCCTCTCTCCCACAGTCTGTCCAGGAGTTCCATGAGGATCTGTTCCCTGACTGCACGGGGACACTGCCAGCCACCGACGCCCAAGGCTGGTGGGCAGGGGACAGCCAGCAGGTCAGTGTCATCCAGGGGAGGTGTCCTTGCTGCTGGCATTGCCACTGCCCCATGCCCACCATTGTGCTCGATGCAGGTGGGAAGGGTGAGCCTGCACCCTGCACGGAGACCCACGGAGACCTTCACATCCCCCATCATTGCTGCCCCTGGCCCCACCAACACTGGCCACACTGAAGCCACCACTGGCCACACCGATGCCAACACTGGCCACACCGACGCCGACCAGAGTGTGAGCATGGGGTGCTGCAAAAGTGCACTGAATGCTGAAGGGGCGGGATCCCTGCTGCCCTCATCCCACAAGACAAGGCTCGGGTGCCAGCACCCCCTGCCCACTGGCTCTCTCTCCTGTAGGAAGCCAGTGGCTACTCCTCACCATCCTCACTGGCCTCACCAAGCAGCGCGGCCACCTCACTCTCAGCCAGCACCGGCCCCTCCAGCGGCTTCGCCAGCAGCCCCAGCCAGAAGTCCCTGCAGAGCATTTTGGGTGAGCAGGGAGTGGGACAGGCTCAGGGACCCCACTGGGGGGATTCAGGGCTCTCACCCACCCCTCACCCGCTCCAGGGCCCAGCTCCCGCTTCCGGCACGCGCAGGGCCGGGTGCTGCACCGGGACCACCACCTGACCAACCTGCGGGGGCTCAGCCTCACCACACCGGGCGAGTGCGACGGCTTCTGCGCCAACCAGCAGCGCGTCGCCCTGCCCCTGCTCTCCGCCGGCGGCCAGATCGCCGTGCTCGAGGTACCCTGGAGAGCTGTGGGGGCTGGCACGGTGCCACGTGGGCCGTGCTGGTGACCCCGGGCTCTCTCCTGCAGCTCTCCAAGCCCGGCCGTCTCCCCGACGTGGCCGTGCCCACCATCCAGAATGGCTCAGCCGTGGCCGACCTCACCTGGGACCCCTTCGACCCACGGCGCCTCGCTGTCGGTACGTGTGTGCCGGCCCTGCCGGAGCCTGCCCGGAGTCTCCCAGCTCCAGGCATGCCAGATCACCCCATTAACCACTGCCCATCCCTTCTGGGGCGCAGCGGGTGAGGACGCCAGGATCCGGCTGTGGCGGATCCCCGAGGGAGGGCTGCAGGAGACCCTGCAGGAGCCTGAAGCTGTTCTCCAAGGTGAGGGGACTATTGAGCACCCCACACTGGGGACAAACCAGCCCAGTGGCACCCAGAGCTGGGGACAACCACACACCACTGAACTTCACCAGGTCACACAGAAAAGATTTACTCCATCCGCTTCCACCCCATGGCATCCGATCTCCTGGTTTCCTCCTCCTACGACATGACTGTGCGGATCTGGGAGCTGAGCGCCGGGCAGGAAGTCTTGTGCCTGCGGGGACACACGGATCAGGTATGGGATGACGAATGTAGGGACACCTGAGAGGCAACTTTGGGACATTTGCACAATATCTGTCTCCAGATTTTCAGCATGGCTTGGAGTCCAGACGGGAAGAAGCTGGCAACGGTGAGCAAAGACGGACGGATACGGCTCTACGAGCCACGGTGCAGCTCTCAGCCTCAACAGGTACAATCCCAGCACTCAGAGTGGGCTGGAGAGCTGGGGGTGTGGGCAGGAAACCCCCCCTGTGGGCACATGAGTGCGCCCCCAGCTCTCTCAGAGCAGGCAGGGTGACCTTCACCCCATGCAGGAGGGCCCAGGTCCTGAGGGGGGACGTGGAGCGCGCCTGGTTTGGGTTTGTGGTGGTGACTACCTCCTGGTGTCTGGCTTTGACAGGTAAAGAGGGGGACACATACCAGGGCAGGGGTCCCTGAGGACACTGTGCTTGCTCTCACTGTCACCTCCCCACAGCCGCAGCGAGAGGAGAATCCTCCTGTACCGGGCACAGGCCCTGCCTGAAGGACCCTTGTCTGTCCTTGGTCTGGACGTGGCCCCTTCCACCCTCCTGCCCTTTTACGATGAGGACACCAGCGTCATCTTCCTCACCGGCAAGGTGAGGCCTTGCCTTCCAAAAAACTGTGGGGCTGCCTGCCTACAGCACCCCACGGTGTGGAGTGTCCCCTTCCATGTCCCCTGACAGCCTCCATCTCGTTCCATGCCCAGGGTGACACAAGAGTCTTCCTCTACGAAGTGACCCCCGAGCCCCCCTATTTCCTCGAGTGCAACAGCTTCACCTCCAATGAACCCCACAAGGTGAAGGGGGGTTGTGCTGCCTGTCCCTGACCCCCTACCTGCGCTGCTAGACCCCACTCACACCCCCACCCCACCAGGGCTTCGTCTTCCTGCCCAAAACGGCGTGCGAGGTGCGGGAGGTGGAGTTCGCCCGGGCGCTGCGCCTGGGGCAGAGCACCCTGGAGCCCGTGGCTTTCCACGTGCCACGCGTCAAGGTAGGTTGTGGTGGGGGCCTGGCTGAGTTTTGGGAGGGGAACAGGAGGCAGAGCAGCCCCCTGAGCGCCCCTTGTCCCCGCAGAAGGAGTATTTCCAGGACGATCTCTACCCGCCGACCCGCGTGTGGTGGGAGCCGGCGCTGGGTGCAGGTGCCTGGCTGGACGGGCAGGACGGGCAGCAGCGCCGTGCCAGCCTGCGCCCCGCAGACATG